CGTTTTTCCGTAGTCTATTTTGCTAGGGGAACCCTCCTTAAAAAAGCTGGTAAAAGGGCACCTAGCTGGGGAACATAGGGCACCTACCACATCTTCAGAGCGTCAACGCTCTGGGCCCCACACGGGCTGAAGTTTTTCAGCCCGCATATGGGCAAGCCATTCATCCGCCTGGTCGCGAGTCACGGAGTTCTGTTGAAGCGAAACAAGATGCTCTTTCCGGCTCTCTACATTGGCATAGGAAGCCAGCTGTTTGGCAGGAGCAAAGAACCTCCCCCCGATTTTTGTGGCAGATGTGTGCAAACTGGCCAGACATGCAACCATAGCTTCAACTGCCCACCTCCCCTGGTTTGGCCTAGGCCAACTCCCTTGGTCAAACATGGACACAGGGAGGGTTGCTGTGCTGGCATCGGCTCAGAGAGCTGAATGCAACAAAGGGGCCAGGGAATCTCTATAATGGCTGAACCGAAACTCGTCACGATCGACCCTTAGGCATCTAAAGAATCTAAGGGGCCCACCTGCAAACCACGGCCTACCAAATATCTGATGCCATGCCTGGAAACTTGCACGTAAACCAACCAAGTCTGCATAGCATCAATCCACATTGATTTCATCCAACATTATTTACTGATGCGTTCCAAGATGATAGACCTGCCCAACAGTCAGAGAAGTGGACGAGATGCATTGTGCAAATTGCAGTTGTCTGCCCCAAGTCTCTCTCAGCCTCCATCGGCAACGTGCTCTTCTGAAAGTTGACATGGATCCGCAAGAAAGACAATGCCTGACGAAATCGCCTCTCGGAGCCCCTTTGGCGGCTGCTTCTGCTCTCCTTAGACCCCGCCCATTTTTTCGGGGTTTCGCCCATTTTTGGAAGAGGACTCTGAAGAAAACAGAGCGTGGGGAAGGACAAGCTAGATCTGTATCTTCTGCAAGCTTCCAAACAGTCCCCACCCCCTACCCCCCAAAGGCCGATACATCGACCCAATGGCTGCCTTGGAAGTGTCTCCCGCACGGGCGCAGGCATGCAGCAAAGAGTTGAAACCTTAGCAGGCAATGCTCTTGGTATGTCAGCCTGCGGCTGTTTTGTTTTGCGTATGTGTGGGTGTGGCTCAAAAAAGGGGCCCCAACTGGAAGCTTGGTGAATGGACAAGTAAACTAACACCTGCGTAACCCTACCTCTCTAATTTTGAGCCACACCCATGTTTTTTTCACTGTTCTCTTGAGTGCTCTTGTGTGTTTGTGTAGCTGTGTGTTGAGTGTAGTGTTGTGTGATGTTGTGGGCTGAGGTGTTGCGTGCCGGTGGGTGTTGACCTGGCCTCTGCAGCTATTACTGTGGCATGGCTACCGTGCACCATGCTGGTCAGGGATGTGCCATCTCCACAACCAGAAGGGTGGGTTACCTCAAATAAACAAGGTTGCCGGAGATCTCGGGGAACCAACGCGTTGCACAGTTGCAGCCAATTTCACTACGGCTGGAATGGCAGCCGGTTGTCTCCGATATAACACTTGAGCTTGTCAAGTTTATGGCCCCCATCTTGGACTTTGATAAGCAGACCTGCAATTTGCACTGGGACCAGGTTGAACCAAAATACATACTGCGGATGGACACAATCCTGCACCACCTCAGAAACCCTGGTTCCTTATGATTCACTGTAACTACCAACTAGCAAAGTTGTCCCATGGTTTCAAAAAGCTGCGAAGGAGGATGGCCAAAGCCGAACACTTCTCAGGAGCCGATCCCAAGTTGGAAGGTCGCAAGGGGACCACCCGACCAGCCCAACCGACCAAACCCTGAATCATGGACATGCCAATCCAGAATCCTAAAGTCCAAGCAGGACCAGCTATGTTCGAAAGGGGAGACTTGGCCCAATATCTGCAACAAACAACACATGGGTCTGTCCTGTTTAGGGAATTCCCAGAAAAGCTGCTATCCTTTGGTTTCCCTTTAAGACTACCAAAGCACACCCGCATTGTGTGTCCACGAGGTATCTTCGTCCGACTCCAGGTCTCCACGCAAGTCAGGCCAGGGGGGATGGATTCGCGCTTCATGCGGGTGAGGCAAGCCTGTCGGGCATGCCGAGGAACATGGCAAGGCCATTGTTCAATGCATCACACACACAACAGTGTTAAGGCACTCACCCCGCACCATAATGGCAATTTGCCTGGGGTACTCTGCTGGAACAGCCTTCACTTTAAGATGTCCAACGCTTGATTCCGTTGGCTGGCTGCTGTAGTGGTGACCACACGGATTGACTGGTAAAGCTGGGGGCATTAAAACAGTTGGAGTCAGTTGGAGTGTTTACAAGGAATAGGCATCGGAGTACCCACCCCCTTTGACCAGCCATCGCAATAAACCACATGTGTTCGCTTGCAATGCGCTTAGATCCATTGGCTGGATTCAGCTTGGCTGGTCAAACCAAAGTAGTTGAGCTTTTGTTGAAGCGAGTTGGGTGAACCGGATTTGTGTAAGCCACGCCCACCCTCATCTCAATAATCCGCTCCCCCAATTAATGAATGACCCCAATTAATAATACATGCAAATTCGGGGCCCGGGACCAGATTTCCACTCCACACAATTGATTTTCCATTGCGCCAATACTAAACCAATACTAACGTCTTGGAATCCTTATTAGGGGGCACTTTTGGCAAGCTTCCAGCCTCACTTTTCAACAGGTGGGTTCCTCAATTCCCCAAAAGGTTGCTTTCCCAAAAGCTGTCTTCTAGCTGCGAATCTCTCTCTCCCGTACATGCTGGCTAATTAACCTGTCTGGCTGCAAACAAACAACCAGTAAACTGGTAAACAAATAAAATGATGCATCAAATTTCCTTATTGAACCGCTTACTCGCGGACCTTACAATTCAATCCATTTCATCCAAATCCTACGTGAACCCTCACATTGTTGGAAAAGCAAAAAAACACCAACCCCAAAAACCCCAATTAAAATATATATGTATATATTTGGGGGGATTTATTTATAATAGGGGGGGGGGCGTATTTATTAATAGGGGGAAGAGATTAATCCTCAATCCACAGCATCACCTTGCGTTCAACTCTTGTTCAACGACAAAGAGCATGCGCCCCCCTGGAATTCCATAGTTTACTTGTTGAATATTCACCTGACCGTAAGGCCAACCCACTTACCTGCGAGCTGGACACTTGACACCCAAATGTGCAGGTGCATCTAACCGCACGTGATGTCTCGAGCCGGCCAGCTTGATCAACGTCAACCCGCTGAGCAGCCTCGCAAGGCAAAGCGGTGGTGAACCTGCCTTGGCGATCTGCCTTATCGAGCATGCCGTATGAAGGGCGAGTGCTAAGTCTTTTCTTATCCGCGCGTGGCATAAGTTGCGGCAAGGCTTCCATGGCCCGAGCCACGGAAAGCTGAGCGCTCGCAAAAGATTGATCGCACATCCGCACTTCAAATGCAGCGTGCATACGTCAGAAACGGCGGGGGTCTATTCAAAAGCGACCTCCGCAAACAGATTGGTATATTGCTTGGGACCTCCCCCTTTATTGGGCATCTTTTTCTGGAAAGTGCTCTTGTTTTGAGAAGTAGACATAATATATATATATATATATATGTGTGTGTATATATATGGATGTGTGAATTGCAATCTCGTAAGCCCTGAAATGTACTACGCGCACGCTGCTCCAATGCTTTTGTCACACATGAAGCTTCCCAATGATGTGAACTGCAACCCATTTGTGAGTATTCGAATCAGAAGCGACCCCAACAATTTGCATCGTTTCAAATTAACTTAATTGCGTGGCCTTGCCAGCCTGTTTTTTGGGCCATGCCTGATGTCACACAATTTGGCCAAGGAGGTTTCCGCGGCTGTGCATTCCATAGTTCGGCAGCCACACCACACACTTGCAGTTCTCAATGTTCAAGGGTGGGATGCAGCGCCACATGTGGGCGCTCCCCCCCCAAAAAAAAAAACAAAATGAAAAAGAAAAAACAAGAAACAAAAGCCTGCCACCCAAGACTCCAGAAAGATCGCTCATGCTTGTTGGCAATCATTGGGAATACTAGCTGTCCAGTTCGCCCATGATGGGGACATCCTCCAGCACAGCAGGTCGAGACGGCCGGGCGGCTCCAGAATTTGCCTTGACTTGCCGGAGGCAGGGGGGCCACATGGCCCATGCCCCACCCCCCCCTCCCCGACCTTTGATAGAAAAGGCAAACCCTGGCTGCTTGCGAGCCGGCGAGCCACGATCCCCGTCTCTGCTTCGCTTTCACATCCTGCAGCGGAGCGTTACGTATGGATCTGCTCGAAGTCTTGAGAAACCCTACGCCAACTCAGCCGCCTACATTGAAATGACAATTGAAGTTGTTGCAAGAACCCTGCCACGATGGCTGCAGGATAACCAAACAAGGCAGGAACGTACGTCGCGTTGGCCGAAATAACTTGCCCGCCAGAGCAAAGTGTAAAGGCTGCTATGTCAACTGCTCGACACATCGTGGAAGCGCTCATGGGTGGGTTACCGGCTTGGGGAGACCACACAAACCAAGTCAACTCCATAAAAACGCTGAACCTCAAACACTTGGCACATCGACTGCTCGACCAAAAAGCAGCCGAGCAGCTCGACCGGGTGGCCCCCTTCGGGGCCGAAATTTGTGTGACGTCCATCGGTTGGAATCAGCCTGCCCCCCTGAATCTTGCTGGTGCTCAGGGAATGGCGTGTCATATGTGGGTTTTCAAAGTATGCTTGGGGCAGTATATAGTCCATTTGACAAAAGCACATTCAAAACACTATCTGGTAATGTCTTTTCTCCACACACTAGCCAGTGTGCGACATACAGCCAAATGCTTCAAACGAAACCATTGTTCAGTAATGTCGGTTAAAATATACGTATGACATGTAACCCATTAAGCAAGAAATGTGTGAACCAAGGGGTCCCCTTTAAAGGAAACCCGATAAAGCAAGGAATGAACGAGTTTCAATTGGCAAGATCAGCGCCGATCAGCCGCCCACCTTCCACCCCTTCAGCCCAGCAGCTTCACAACTTGGACAAACCGCATGGCATTCGCAGAACCGTACCTCAGGGAGGTCGAACATGCATAGCTACGTGCAGCTTCGTCGAGGGGAAGCACCCCAAAGTTGGGCCGAATAGCTTAGGGGTCGTTGAAGGTGCCTGAAGTTCAAACACGGAAATGGGCTGAAGTGCCAATTTACAGGACACAATCTGGCAGTTTGGTTTCTTGTTCAAGGCTCAGCTTTGATGGACGCTTGGACGAAGAAGCAAACATTGCAATGTGTCTTTCATAGGGTGGCTGAATTTAAAGACATTGAAGGTGTTGTGCTATCCATTGCGGGCTGGAATGTAGCGGCTTGCTTCGTGTTGGGACAGGCAAAACAGTCAAAAACAACTTGTAAAAATGGCGATGTCTCCTGGACTGCCTGTCAAGCAAGTCGCACGCAAAGTCGTGCAAAGTGCACTCACTGGAAACTGGCAACTGCCTCGAAAGTGTGGAAGCCCATCGTGGGCACAGCCACTATCCTCTACAATCAAACTGGCTTTATTGGTGCCAAAGGTCATGAGCATAAGCAGCGAATGTCTGCAGATAGCAAATGATATGGCCAATCAATCTAACTTTGTGCCCTTATGTTGCCTCCTTGCCTTACATGCAAAATATGGGGTTGTAAAAATTCTTTTGGAGGTCATTTTGAAGGTCCTCCCAAACAAAGACACCCCCATATGATTGTGAGCTCAGTTTTGGTAAACTGGACAAGTGGATGGTCGTCTCGCCCGCGCCTGGACACTTCTCTGCGACATGGCGAAGGACAACCTGACGGGGCCAGCCAGGTGGACACAGCAGGGAGATATGCGGGATGGTTGTTACAAGGGGGGGGGGTCTTTTGACACCATGTTGTGTAAAAAAAAAGATTATGAAGGGCAATGTGAATTCTGACCAATGCGGATCACCATACCGATCAGAGACAGAGCACTCAGCCACTGACACAATATGCCCCCTCGTCATTGGAGTGATGACGGGCAAACGAAAACATCACCGGTCAACTGAACAGCTCCAGTTTAAAGGCCAGATGCGTTTCCCTTTCTGCAAACACTCACATACAAAAGGTCAGCCGCCCTCTAATTCGTGGTTTGGGTTGGTGGTTTGGAGGTCAGGGGTGGCTTCCCATTTGTCCACAAATGAACTGGGCTGCCATCAGATCCCCCGCTCAAAGTTTAACTTTAAGCGGGTTAAATGGAAACTACCACTAAGCACTGAAAGGCCAAAATGGCTCGCAGCCACCAAGAGAACCATGGGTCGGACAAATGGCCCGCCCCCCGCACCTGCCAGGCGAGGTCGTAGACCTTCTCAAAGCTGGCGTCCCAGGCCTCCGGCGCTGTTTCTCAATGGGCGGTGGGTCAAAACCAATGGGATCCCATTTTCGGGTAGGTGCACCACCCATTTTAGTCTATTTTAGTGGGGGTTGGGATGTTCACTGGGGGTACCGGATTTTGACCATGGCCAATTAGTTTCCAGCCTCAAAAAAAATATCTCTCCGTCTCTGCCGTTGCATCCAAAAGGTCCACCAAAATAAGTTAGAATTAGTTTAATTGGTTTAGTTGGTGTATTTTCCCAGGGGGGGCCCTAGTTTAATTAGTTCAATTGGTGTATTTTCCCAGGGGGGGGGGGCCTTCAGGACCAATTCTCAGCCAATGCACTTAAACCGATGCACCAAGACAAACCCGAAAAACGACGCCCGTTTTCTCCGGCTAAGCTGCTCGCTCGGAACGATTTTGGGCTCAGAGCGGGCACCTCATTTGGACTAGCGCCGGTCTGCCTATTGGATCGGATTTGGAGGCAGTTACGCTCGGGTTGGTTTAGGGTCAGTTTGAGGCTGCCTAAGATCTTCATGAGGGCCAACCAACCAACCAACCAACCAACCAACCAACCAACCAACCAACCAACCAACCAACCAACCAACCAACAGGGAGGACCCGCCCTAGTAATTAAAAAACGGTCCTAGCTAAAAACAACAACAACTCGTCCTCAAAGGGCACCAACAACAAGACCAACCTGCGAAACACACGCCCCTAGAATCATTCATTTCTTGCATTGAGAAACTTCACAAGACATGACACCAAACCTAGACAAGACACTAAAAATCAGCTGTTTGCACGTTTGAACTGTTGAAAACAACGACAACGTTGATGGCACAAATCCGCCAGCACTTTCCATTGCCGCGCCTGGGCCCCGCCCTTCATGGCTGCCTGCAGGTCAGCCGCTAGCTTCTGCTCCTCGCCTCATGCCCCGCGCGGTTGCTGGCGGTGTGGCCGCGTGATGTGTCGCACTCATGTTGCTCGGCGTACTTCGACATGAACCTGGGGGCTCCCTGGCCACTGCCACGCAACCCGCACCTAGCGTGGTGCCTGAAGCGCTCGAGGCACGCGTTTTGGCATAGAAGATCGCCCTACGTCACTACGGGAGCCAAGGGGGTTCTCGTGCCGCCAAGTCGCTGTTACCCAGGGGCTTGGTCACCCTCACGCGGTCGCGGGCTAGCTTCTGCCTGGGCTCATTGCAAAGCTCGCAGTGCCCTGAAGCGGGTAAGTGGGTGCCCCATTCATCATCCCAGGCTCAGACGGAGGCTCCCAGGCTCCATTCAGACTATGACTTCATTCGAAACAACATCAAACAACTCTTCATTTATCAAACTAATCGCTTCTCCCTTAAAAAAAAGTCCGCCCCCCAAACAAAAACAATAAATAAAATGGATGGAGTTTTATTGTTAGGGGTCGCCGGTTTGGGCCTAGATCCAGTTGATAGGTTGCTGTTTAGTATTGGACTTGCATTGGAAAGTGGATCTCCTTTGATTTGGAGCAATTCTCAGATTGCAACTTTTAAGTAAGAACTTCGAAAGGGAGTGTCCCATGGTCAGCTTCATAAAAAAGTGTTTGTGTTGGGTTGTTTGGCGAACAAACCCTAATAATAGTAGAACTTTCTTGGGGATGTGTTGTTTGGTTGGTTGCTATTTAGTTACTATTGGACTTGCATTGGAAAGTGGACTCCCTTTGACTTGGAGCAAAAACATGCTCAGATTGCAACTTTTAAGTAAGAACTTCGAAAGGGAGTGTCCCATGGTCAGCTTCATAAAAAAGTGTTTGTGTTGGGTTGTTTGGCGAACAAACCCTAATAATAGTGAACTTTCTTGGGGATGTGTTGTTTGGTTGGTTGCTATTTAGTTACTATTGGACTTGCATTGGAAAGTGGACTCCCTTTGACTTGGAGCAAAAACATGCTCAGATTGCAACTTTTAAGTAAGAACTTCGAAAGGGAGTGTCCCATGGTCAGCTTCATAAAAAAGTGTTTGTGTTGGGTTGTTTGGCGAACAAACCCTAATAATAGTAGAACTTTCTTGGGGATGTGTTGTTTGGTTGGTTGCTATTTAGTTACTATTGGACTTGCATTGGAAAGTGGACTCCCTTTGACTTGGAGCAAAAACATGCTCAGATTGCAACTTTTAAGTAAGAACTTCGAAAGGGAGTGTCCCATGGTCAGCTTCATAAAAAAGTGTTTGTGTTGGGTTGTTTGGCGAACAAACCCTAATAATAGTAGAACTTTCTTGGGGATGTGTTGTTTGGTTGGTTGCTATTTAGTTACTATTGGACTTGCATTGGAAAGTGGACTCCCTTTGACTTGGAGCAAAAACATGCTCAGATTGCAACTTTTAAGTAAGAACTTCGAAAGGGAGTGTCCCATGGTCAGCTTCATAAAAAAGTGTTTGTGTTGGGTTGTTTGGCGAACAATCCCTAATAATAGTAGAACTTTCTTGGGGATGTGTTGTTTGGTTGGTTGCTATTTAGTTACTATTGGACTTGCATTGGAACGTGGACTCCCTTTGACTTGGAGCAAACACATGCTCAGATTGCAACTTTTAAGTAAGAACTTTGAAAGGGAGTGTCCCATGGTCCGTTTCTAATTGCGAGTTTCTGGTTGTTGGGCGAACACACCCTAGTAATAAAACTTGGTTGGAAGGGTTAGCGAGTCAGCCTGCTTGAGAGGGAGTGCGTTTGATCAGCTAGACAGCCCGTACACTCTGGAGGGGGGGGCCTAATAAGCACATTTTGGGAGCTTGGTGGAAAGCATGTGTAGTCTCAGGAGTTTAGTATTGGTTTAGTGTTGGCCAATTTAAATTTAGTATTGCCATTTTTTTGCAGCGGCTCGGGGGAGTTTTATTATTAGGTAGGTTGATTAACAGGAAGAAGTGATTACCAAAATATATGACTTCATTCCCTCCGTGTTTGGGAGCTTCCATGTTTGGAAGGAAAGTGGTGTGCTACTTTCTGCATGCTTCACCTCGAACAGGCCCGCTTGCCATCCCAAAACGGGGGGCTTAGATCGTCTGGGACTTAGCTAGGTGGTTAGGCTGTAACCCACTTAGCATGGCTGTAAGTCCCCTAGAACCAGGGTTACTAACCATTTAGCTAAGTCCCAGTATGGAGAACCTGGTGCCTGAGGTACCTACGGTAGTCCTGACCTTTCACAATGATCAAGCCGCGAGCTTCGACACAACCCATTTTGCCCCTCCCCCCCAGGTCATTCAATGAGCAACACATCTGCCAATGGTTTCCCGCCAAGCCTCGCAAAAGAAGGCCCTCGTGACAATCAAGAGGACACCCCCGACGACGCATCAAAGTCATGGGGGAAGGCAGAACGGGACTTTGTCAAGCCGACAGGCCTATGTGAGCCACATGGCACGTTGCGAAAATGCCAAAGAAACAACGTCCGCCGGGCTTCCAACGGGGTGGCCAAAATGCAAAGAACACTCACATCAGGGGCTCAGACAGCTGAGTTGCATCAATATCCTCGAGTCGCCCTCCGCGAACTTGCAGGCCTGACGGCACGACAGCTCCGGACTAGTTTTTTGAAACGGCCGCTTTTGGACGTCCAAGAGCGGAAATTGAGGAAACCCTGTCATAGACCCACCGTTCTTGGCAAAAAGCAGAGAGAGAGAGAGAGAGAGAGAGAGAGAGAGAGAGAGAGAGAGAGAGAGAGAGAGAGGAGAGAGAGGGAGGAACAGCTCACCATGCTGGCGACCGCACCCAATCATTTAAAGCGCTCTTGGCAAACACTCGTCGCTTTCCAGGTTTGTTGGAGGGAGGGTACAGCACTTCACAAATTTAGATACCCCGCAAGCAAGGCAGGCAGATCCCTAGAATAGCGAACCGCCCAGTTAAACAAACATGTTTCAACATGCAACACAGCCGAAGGCTAAATGATCAGAATGGCCAGGGTTGCGGGGTATTTCACAATCAAATGAACTCATGACAACAAGGGAATAATGTAATTACGTACATATGGGTGTCCTTTCTGAGGATAACCTTTTTTTTTGTGGCTTTCAAGAGACACAACAATGCGAACCGCAACTCTTTGGGGTCCCCCCCAAAAAAATAAAAGCACCCCCCCCATGTCCCAGTCCAGAAAAAATGAAGAACAAAAAAACAAAAAAGCTCCGGGGGAGCTCCGGGCGTAACAAAAATATCCACGCCTGCAGGAAGTCCATCTGCTCAAAGCCGGTGGCGCCCATCAGGGCGTGGGAGCCCACATCCTGCCTAAAATGGGCTGAGCGGGAGCAGCGAAAACTGTGGATGGTGGCGAAATCTAGCAATCGCACCACGAAATGAAACCATGGTTGAAACCATAGCTTTTGTTGGCATTTACAAGGGAATCGACGCATTCCAAAGTTTCTGAGGTGGTGCGAAATGGATTTCGTCCATCCACAGTACGTGTAAAGACTGATTGGGCTGGGGGCTGGGTTTGTTTCTTTACTCTTGTCGTGTTTTTCAGGGAGTTCATGACCTCAAAGCGGCAGCCCCCAAAGCACGTCCCTTCAGAATCTGCGGCGCGGAGATGTCATGCAAGGCTCTGCTAGTGGTTGCCCCCTCCCGGCAATCTCAACGGGCATTCTGGCGAATGGACAATGATAACTTCAAAGACGACTACCAAACAGCAGTTGGCACCCTGAAGGTTGCGCATAGATGTCTGGCGACAGCGCTCTGTTTCCCGACACCTGATATATGCGGTCACCAGGAATAACAGAATGAACCAAGCAGTCGAGCAAACAAAGCCTCAACCCAAACCTCAGTGGACCAGTTGATCTTATCTTTTTTCCATCTCCCCCCGCCCAACAAATGCAAGAAAAGGAAGCAACCTACTGTGCGTCTGGACCAAACGCGAAGGCCAAGCGGCTTGAGGCGGAAGCAAAGGTCAATGCTGGTCTCCTCAGGTTGCACGATTTCGCAAGGCAGCTGCCAAGTGGGTGGAGGGTTGGGTTGGTTGGGGGTGGCAGGTGTGGGTGCGGGGTCAAGTTGCAAGCCTTGGACCAAAAGCGAATGGTGTGTTGCAGAGAGTGCCACGCCTCATATGAGGGACCACATCATTACTGCCTAAATTGTTGCAGTGGAAGTGGACACTTTTGGGGCAGGCAATTCGTATAATCCAAACATGTGTGGAACTCAATTTGAGCTTCCGCTGATCAATCAGGAACCGTTGATGCATTGTGGGCACCCGCCGAACACCCTGGCCCGGAAATGAGCAACAGCAAATGCACAAAGTCCATGCTAAAACAGTCAAAGCACCCGCACCCGCTCTTGATTGCATATCGCATGGTTTCGGAAGGTAGCAGCTCTGTTCGTTTCATGTGGGGAAGGACGGCTTCGTAGCCTCCTGCGTTCCCGGTCCAAATGTTTAAGTCAGACACGGCCCGCATTCTTCCGGCCGACTTCGTCCGGGAGGCGCTGGCCGCGATCTTGCAGCAAGCAATGGCCTCCTGCAGCGCGGGGGGCGGGATCTCTTCCTTCTGCAGGCCTCGCAGCTCCGGCAAACGGACCGACCGACCAACGGGAATTTGGAGACCAGCCGGACACGTTGCCAAAAACGGCGGGGGAAAACATCACACACACACACACACACACACACACACACGCGCGCAGAAACCGAGCATATGGGTTCGTGGTTTTGACACCCAGCCATGTTTGAGGCCTTCCCCACCCTCTTGCCAAGATCAACATAGTATGTTTGAAAGAGCAATTTTGAGAGAACACCATGTCGACCCCTTTTTCTTTGATGGCCAGTTGCCCAACTGTCTTGAGCAACCAGCATGTCGCAAAGACAACTGAGCATCGGTGGCTTCATTAACTTCTGTTCTCCACTCTATCATGAGGCTCCCTAGGGGCCACACCCAATCCAGGCCTGTTAGACGCCATCCGCCCCTACGGAAGATACATGGAGGCTTGGCTTGTCCCCCAGCCCGTAGGAGGGGTTGTGACCTTCATTGCGTCGTTCCATTTCCCTGAGCCATGCACTGCAAAGAAAACTGCTTGGTGATGGAACTTCAATGTGTTAGGCCAGCATCTGAAGTTGTTGGCCTGATTCGTTGCCACAAGGCTGTACCCCAAATTTCATAAACAACTGTGGGTTTCCTTTTGGCCTTGTTTCGCTTTCCCTTCAAACACCATCCAAACACGTGCATCCCAATGTTCTGAAGGACTTTGACACCACCCGCGCCTGAAGTGGTGAGGGCACACCGACAGGCCCCGAATTACTTTACGGCCAATCCAGCGCCAGTGCTTTGGGAAGATCCCGGCTTCCTAAACCCCAACAGATAAACCCTGGAAGCCGGAAACCTAAACCCCAAAAGCTATAAACCTAAACCCTCAAAACCCTGAACCAGAACCCTTAAATCCGCGCACCTAAACCCTAAACCCCCGAAACCCCGAAACCTTAATTCCAATAACGCAGACTTCCAGGCCACTCGCCTTGCCGTTGCTCAGCGGAAAAATGACCTTCCGGGTGTTGGAAATGAACCGGTTTGGGGACTCCCTTAGAGGAAGCCACAGTGCCACAAGGGGTCTCAAAATGACCTTCCGGGTGGGAAATGAACTGTTTGGGGACTCCCTGAAAGCCAAATCGGATGGATGGTTTTTCCTCGGGTTCCTTCCAGTGGCCCTTCCCCGCTCGAGGCCCCGAGGCGAGGCCATGCGAGGCCAAGGCCCCGGGCAGGCGCTGAGCTCCGCCTCGCAGCGGCTCACGTAGGCCTCCAGCTGCGACAAGTTCTCCTCCGCGCGGAGGTACCTGCAAGCGTCGAAGCGTCGGAACGGGGCGTGGGGCGTCTTGGGATGGAGCGAATCCAGGTCTCAGTGGCTGGGGTTATTCCAAGGTTTTGGAGGGGAAAACACCCATAGGTGGAAAGACATGATGAAATTCCCAATTGGGTGGGTGTATCCCAAGGCCGGATGGACCAAATCAAAGTCCCAGAAGGTGGGTTTATGCCAAGATGTAGGAGGGATTAGCTGTAGGTGGCACGGCATGAGGTGGAATTATCACAAGAGTTACAAGATACGTATGGAGTTTGTCCCCAGTATGGCCATATCTGTCAGGGGAAAGCGTCACCCAGGCACAAATGCAAAATTGCAAATTCCCTGCTGGCTTCCTTTTGGTCAAGGGATCCCGTCAAGAGGGAACTCTATGTCCGGGAAGGGGAAAGAAACAGAAAAACAAGTTACCCCATCAGCCAGAAGGACCTTGGGTATGAAAATAAACTGGTTGGACCTTCTGTCCACGACCCACACGAGGGCGTTCTCATCTATTCTCATAGCCAGATAGCAGAGACCGAACAACCATTGTTCGAATTTCCTTCGGTTCCAATTTACTACAATTTTGGAGTCTTTACAAAGGGAAACCGAAGAAAAGGGGCCAGTTATTGATTCTATCTGACGAGCAAATAATGAACCAAACCATATTTCAACAACGTAGGATGTTCTGATTCAAAACTGACAGTGACGGCTTCAACACATTGCCTACAAGCAAAGTTTCCAAGTAGCCCAAGCTAATGAGCAAACGAAAAGATATTTATCGACATCTACACCCCTAGGCTCCTGTGAGTACAGTGAACATCCATGGCTTGCCTTCAGGGAGGGATCAGCTGGCTACTCTTTCAGGAGCCCTGGAAAAGGCGGACTTTGGGCTCAAATGCTCAGACCGCACTAGAACCCCACAGCGTCGCAACCTCTAGAAAGCCATGCGATGGGGCCCGGAACCCAATCTCAATGAGAGAAAGGCACTGGGCACCCCGGCAGATGGTTGAGCTGCGGCACCTGCGTCAAGGTGGCGTTCCCCTTGGGCGCCCAGCCTCGCCGCTTGCCGCTTTCTGACCGGTTTTGAGGCAAAATGGCGGCACACCCCACAAAGCTCACAACGAATGTAATCACCGTTGAGTGTGCTGAAGCAACACCAAGGAAGCTTCCCCTCAACAGCAAACCTTTGTCCCAAGCAAAGCAATCGCGATTACCCACTTTCCGAGGCCAGATGAGTTGTGTGACACCCTCATTATCCCCTCGCTGAGGCTCCTTAAAGTGTAGAGGGCCACGTGCTGTCACAAAACCTGCAGTGTCATACCTCCCATTCATGAGCCCAACCATCCACTTTTGCCGGCCTTGTCACTCCAAATCCGCAAATAAAAACATCTACATGACAAGGCGGGTCCTGAAGTTCCCCTCTGCAGCTACATAGTGCGGGGGGCGAATCCATCATCAACATCACCCAGTTGTGCTGGCACAGGGGCACTTCTTGTGATCTGAATACTCGCGGGTCATCTCGAACAGCCTGAAGGCAAAGCGGAAATGGCAATGTCTTCTTGGCCCTGGCCTCTTGCAACCAAACCCGTCCAAGGAGATACTGGCGTCCCGGTGTTTCTCCCTGGCTTTCCCTCAAGCCCGAGGTAAAAGGCAAAATATTCAGGTTTTGATGCATCCTAGGAGACTTAGCCCCAGAACTGTAGGGCAAGTGTGTTCGCAGGATTCCACAATTGGGATCAGGCGGGGCAATGTTTCTTATTGCGTCAATGAACCTGATGGTCACACCGAGGTTGCCATCCGGTAACCAGTGTTGTCTCACCGGGTCTTGGAAAGGATTCCTTTGGACAAGCGAAGCTGACTCAATGCCGCGCCTAGCTGTTACCCGTGTCAGGTAAACACAGTCATGAAGGGACAAACATTGCGTGGGTGTTGCTGGAAGGAGCTCCGAACCAAGCCCCAAAGAAGCCCCAATCCAACACGCATAATATCTGTGTTCTTTTTTGGAGGCCTTTAGGAAAATGATGAGTACTCCTTTGAACCAGGGGATTCATATCAAGCTATAGGAGGTGTGTAAGCAACCATGAAAGTCACTGCGCAGTTACCCCAGTTTCAAGCATGCGCCAAGCAAAAGCTTGACAAGAAACATGCGTGCACTTGCTTAGGGAAGTGCCGGCTTCAACAATCCGTTACTTAAATGAGATGGGTTAACAACATTCAAACAAACGGTTGTGGTCGAATTTGCTCCGATCAACCCAGCGGCAGCACCAGCTAGATTGGTACGACCACAGGGTCACGGTACCGAAATAGATGAATGACAACTTGAAGACTGCTTGCGAGCAAATCTTTGCCTATTGCCGATATGGCCCTAGATCAGGGGCTTTCATTGAGCTGCCTCCACCCGTGTTTCGTCGCAACACATCAACTCACGCGTCTCTGAATTTCATGATAATCCATCTGTCGCTTCTTATGAAGTAATTTAGCGACGCCTCACGAAGGATCAGGCTGCACATCCATCATATCAAAGCGAGGTTGCTGCAATGGAACCATCAACTCCCCTCCCCCAGCTGCTCAGGGCATACTCTCCTATAAACTAGTCCCTATACGCTTCTTACCCAATCCAAGGCGAAAAGCATTCGACGCCCCCTGCTTGGGCGTTCCCAATGTTTTGTTGCGGTTGGGACCTGGTTGTCGTCTCCTGTCATCCGCGATTTCACCATTCCTTTCCGAACAACAACGCCATGTTCAAACTAACAAACTAGCAATTGTACAAGGACATGCGGCATGTCAACACATCCATTCCATGGCTCAGTCCTTAAAGAAAAAGCTTGGAAGCCTAATCCTGTACTGAAACTCCACATAACAACAATGTTCCTCCAGATCTCCTGCAGCATGTTACGTCCGCAAGCCACAACACCTTCCCATACCTTGCCCTACAGTACGGGCACAACAAACACACGCACGATCCTCCTTTCAGCATGGCTCAACTTTTGCTTCAAAGTACCCCACCGCATTCTGGTTCTGAAACCAACCCCTTGGACCATTGACTGACATGTGGAAGCAGCAAAACGGACCCCAGCCAAACACACACACACACACCCAAACACTCCCAAATTGCTCTTTTTCTTCTTTGGGGGGGAGGGGATGTTTGGAGCCACGGTGCTTGCGCGTGAAGGTGAGCGCGGCCCAGGCCACGGCCACGCGACCGCTGAAGAGCCGCTGGCCAATCATCGCCATGTTGCTGAGGCCCTGCGGCCGCGCAAAAACAACCGCCAAGTAGCCTTAAGGCGCCGAGTTGTTGTTGGTATGTTCCTCCTGGAAAGGCCGGTGTTGAGTCAACCTTCTGTGTACATGTGAGTAAACAAATTGTTGAAGCCTCGTTCGCATTTGGGTGGGTTCGACTTTAAAAGTGCAAGGAGTTAGTTGTTTTAACTCTATGTTCTTTCGTCTGGACCTAAGTGGCTTGTAACCCTGGTGTTCAGATTGAAACCGTTCTTGCCCTCCATGATCTAGGTGAATCGCTGACCGGTGACTAACCCGGGTCACAACCCAACGGGGCTTACAACCATAGGTGGCTCATACCATAGTTTCTAAACCACTAAGCTTAGCCTTAGACCTAAGCAGGGTTGGGAGAACATAGAGTTTCAAACAACCAAATCCTGGCGGCACATTTAAAAGGGGACCACAAAACCGAGATTTCATAATTCAAGGGGAATGATTTGCTGTTCAAAGGTTCAATTCAATCATGGCAGCTTGAGATGTTAAGCAGGCGAGAACAAGAACTCACAAGGCGGTCAAGTGCGCTCCATGCACCTTAGGACGGCATCACCCAGGCTACATCTCCCCAAAGCGATCATCGAGTGCCACGGGCTTGTGCAACACATCGAGTGCCACGGGCTTGTGCAACATAGTCTGCATAAACTGCACGTCACGCCACACAATCCACATTGCGCGGACAGTCATAGGCTGGCACCCCAATCAATACAATCATGTCCGGCACCCCTGGCTTCTTGAGGGAATTGGTACATTTGACAACATGCTCCACCTATTCCTCCAACCCATCTGACTATCTGACTGCTCCATGTTTCGCGCCGCAAACACCGAGGGCGCCCCGCGGCACCGCGGCAGCGCCTGCACTTTGCTCACATAGGTGCCCCCCTGGCCGGGCGTGACGTGGCCGTAGCGGCTCAGCAGCGCCGAGGAAGGCGCCCGAGCGCCATGGAAGGCCTGCGGGAATGCCACGAAGGCTTGGGTTGGGAAGGATGTGGGGTGCACCCAAAAGCGAGATGTGAGTTGTTTTGTTGGTTCCGGACGAGGTGATGGGCTCAAGATAGATGTAGGAACACCAAATGGAGAACCGCCAAGACAAAAGGGTGCTCGTTTCGATTGGGTTGTATGAAAGAAAGGCCCGACCCAAACAAATGAAAAAGGAACAAAAAGGGACGGCAAGGCCAACGAAACAAAGGCGACACATAATGTTTTCTTGAAAATGCCACACAGAAGGAGTGACCCTCGTCGTTGTCCAACTTGAGCTGATTGCCGTTGCCTACCAGTTCTCAGAACATAGAGCTTGCTACTGTCCTGGCTGCTCCAGGTGAACACGACAGGAGCAAACACTCTTCTTTCAGCCTACGCCAAAACCAACTGAAACACCAACTTACCAACCACTCGCAAACACGGCAGCAAGCAGAGACATGGGCCAAACGGCCAAACTGCTGGTACTGTAGATGTGTCGTTTTTGGACCATGCAAACGAACAGGCACCAACCAAGCGTTGCGAAGTCCTAAAAGAATGCCGAGGGGCAATCCAGGCGTTATCAAGGTCGTTCCCCACCGTCTTGCGGCCCATGTCCTTGCCACGACGGCACTTGCGAACGGCTGCCTTGGCACCACCTGTTGCCAAACATATGCCCGAACGCGGCCACATGGCACAGGCAGTTGCTAGGCATTCTGCACATAGGGCTTGCAGTGGATCAGTGGATCACGTAGCGTGCTGGCCAGCTCACTTTTCCAAAAAGCCCAGGCTGCAAGTTCAATATTTTGTGGATAGAATATTCGCTCTGAATTGTCGGTTTGGGCACGCCTCAGGCAAGCAAAACAAATGCGCAACATCCACTGTTTCCTCGCCAATTACCTAACCTCAGCCTCTCTGCATGTTGGACTTCAACAGGGGCGCAAACCACCAATCTCAGCTGCACAACAGAACCAAACATGCCTAAAAAACCAACAGGCGTCACACCAACTCAATTTTAAGGCACGGGTAAGGTATGAGTAAGGCTTTAGCTCACTTGCCCAAAGGACCCAAACATGAACGGTTCACCTTTTGGGGCCATGACAAAACGTGGACCAAATTAGGGAAACCGAAAGGTCAAAAGGTTGGCTCCATGAATTGCTGTCACAGTGTCGCCCAGCTCCACACCCTCCACCACCTTGCCATCCCTCCTCACTTCCATGAGGAAGGCGTGGGCACCGCACCTATGCGCCAAAACGGCGCCAAAACGGCACCAGACCCTTTGCGCTCGACTTTCTCATGCACAAGATTCGAAAGTGCAACATAGCTGAGGCACGCACACAGTGTGCAGAACCCGAATGATCACAATGGCCAGATTGAAGGAGCAGTGGAAACAACGACATTGCTCATCCACTAAAACGAATCGGAAGTGCAGAAACCTTGACACCCAAGATCACCCTCGCACCCAATCAAGGATGACAAGCCACAAAGCAAAGCAATGCAAGCTCACTACATCGGCTACTCCCACCTCTTTCCAGCCACCCGCAGGTCAGCCACCACCACGGACAATTCGCCAACCAGGCCCTGGGAAATCCAGTTCTTCTGCGCGCCCACCTGAGCGAGTCGATCCGAAAGCCCAACAGCTTTCTTTCAAGCGGTGCTGTTTCCATGGTTTCCATGTCCATGGTTTCGGGTTTCCATGGTCTCCTTGGCAGAAATCGCTGTTCTGCGTAGGGGGAAAAATCGGGCCACTGGAAGCGCATCTTGTCCATGTGACCCACCACACAGCCAAGGCACATCAGCGGAAGTGATGACAAACTCCTGGGCTTGATCCTGAGTGCAAGCAAGCACGTCTCGCAGTGGCTCGACGAACCAACGAGCCATGGTGATGATGCAATTGTGGTGGCACGTGGCATAAGCACTTGGACTTCAGGTCCCTCAGAGTTGTCTAAGCACAAGAGCCAACTCAAACGCGTCCTACTTGGAGGCTAAGAGACATAGACATAGTTTTAACTATGCTCATAAATGCACAATGCACTTTGACCTGTTAGCGCATCTTCGCGCCAACAAAACCTTGTACATGGCCATGGCCACTTCCGGCCTCTTGCTGATGGTGCGATGCTTACGGTTAGGAGTTCTGCGGTTAAAGCTGCACTGCCGGGCGTCATCCCACTCCGCAATCGTATTGACAACGCCGCCGCCTCAATATCCCAGGTGGCGGAGGAAGTCCCTGAGAAAGATTCAGCTTAAAGGTGGGCGGCCCTGCCTGGTTACTGCAGGCCTTGTTTCTCCGGTGCCCAGATATTGGCCCTGGGCGGGGCTTGAGAAGCAATGGTTCGCAAGCATTCGTATCCATGACCCAATCAAATACATGCGGGGTTACCCCGCTACCTTGGAACTCTCAACCAAACTACAGCCTCAGTCTTAGAGATCCCTATTCAAGGTTTGAGAAGAACATGTAGCCACACACACACACACTTCGTAAGCGTGGACGTACCAAGCAAGACGAATCAAGGCCGCTGGGTCGATTCAATGGTAGTCCACTCCATGTAGTAGCGGCTTGGATTGATGTTTTGTTGGGAAAAGAGTGGCATGCCGTTCAATTGTAACAAGAGCTTCTACCATTGAAGGTGCCCATGGGCTGAAATTGGCCGGAGTCAGCCGCAGAACGTGCCAACAAGCAAAATTACAATGCAGGTAGAACAAATAAAAAATGGCCCATGACAGCCAAACGGCAGAGCGCCATCACAACAATTTGCAAATCACACGCAAGGCCCGGGAACCAGCATTATAACATGTGGATAAGGCTCTGATAAGGACACCACTCACGGGAACAAATGCACGTGCACACACACACACACACACCACACCTGCTTGAAGGCCTGTGCTTTTTGGCTATTTGAGGGTAGTTGCCCTTTCCAGCTTGGGTTTGAAGGGACGCCCAAGGAAAACCCCATTCTGGAGGTCCCCATTTTCGACACACCCGAAATTCCGCCAGAGACGGCGCGTTGAACCCAAGGCGCTGTTCACCCCCGCGAGCTTCTCGGTAAGGCCAAAGGATCCCAGAAGGCCCTGAAGCAAAAGGTCGAGATCGGATGCACCAAGCTTCCACAAAGGGTCCCCCTAATTGGTGGTTTGGATTGGTGGTTTGGATTGGTGGTTTGGGATTTGAACCCTTGCTTGTTGAAGGAAAAAACGGACAACATCCCCGATGGGCACGTAAAAACCCCCAATCCAAACCAACAATTCGTGGGCAGCTGAACAAAGGGAACCCCTAACATGCCACACTCCACAGAATTGTTCAACCAGTTGATTAATATTCCTTGCCCCCAAATGGCCATGGGTAACTTGACCCATTTAGTGGGGAGAGTCATCTTTGTCAGTGGCTTCCCTGATGGTTATCCCATGTGAAGGACCTTTTGATCAACCCGAAAGGCCAACGAACGAAACACGCGGACCCTCGGGGCAGCTCCCAGCTGCTAAGGGCTACAAGTGTAGGCAAGCCAAAGAACGCACAAACCCCAAAAAACAACAACACAGGAAGCAAACCGACCCACCACTATTACAGTGACCCTTCCAGGGATGAGCCCCAGACGAGCCAAAAACGCCCCCAACCATCGCTGTGGACCGCCTTCTGCTGGATCTCGTCCAGTTGCTTCACCTGCTGCTCTGTGCCAACAGCCAGCACGGAGCCCGCGAAGAGGTTGTAGTGGACCTGGGAGCCACAAGGCTCGTGTCTGCTCCTTTGTGCGTTGACCCAAAAAAAAAAGGGATCCTGCTGATTCTGATGTTTTTCTCCCAAACCATCCAAACAAGGCGGAAACAAAGCCAACAAATAGTGCGTGAACAGCCTCTCTACCACGTTCCCTTCAAAATTGTTGGAGGAGCTTTTGGAAAAAACGGAAGGTGGTTTAGACAATCATGCAGTGTGACCCCCAAATGACCATTTGCAACCATAGCTGAAAGGCCGACACTCCAACCGGTTTGGTCGCGCATCACGACTTAGACTTTTTGCACTTGTTCATCTTACACTACTGTACGTTGCAATCTTCTGCTCGGATTGGCCCTTGGGAGGCTGTTTGCCCACCTGGAACGCTTGTACGAAGATTTGGGCTGCCTTCGTCTGCCTTCGGCAGGAAGAAAGGACGCCTCTTTTCATATTCTTAAGCAAATCCCATAGCGTTTGAAGCTTTTTACTTCCGGCTTGGGGCCAGTCACCACTAAAAGCACAGTCGGAAACTGTGAAAGTTTGGGCTTGAACAAGTCAGTGCTCAACTGCTTGTCTCTTGCCCCAACTGAAAGCGTACTGAGGGCCACCTGGCTGGCGCAGTTGCAAACATCCCAGGCGTCATGGGTTCTGGCAAAAGAAAAAGACGCGACATGCAGGTTTCACTCGAAACATGCTTATTTTGTTTTGGAAGTCACTTTCAGTGAGCTGCTTGCCCGCTGGAAAAGCGGGCAAGATGCCTGAGATTCTCGTGGCAATCCCTTTGAACTTCCGGCTGAGACAGGCTACGCCTTTCTTGAGGGCCTTTCTCCGGTTGGTTTTGGAAGCTTAAAGGACACCCACCATTGTTGGGGTGATACGTGCATGCGCGTACCCCATATATTCAGGTCACCCTTAATTGGTGGTTTGGATAGGTTTGGGGATTTGAACCTCTGGCTTTGGAGGGCACGTGGGACACCACCTCTGAACCACCAAGCCACTAACCACCAAACCACCAAAGGGAAGCTGGAATATGGCCGGGGCTGCGAGAAAACAAAACAAATCCGAGCGGCCGTGAACCGGATCCAAAACCCCGGCCCCAGGTTGGGCGCATGCCGCGCCAGCAGGCGGTGAGCCTCATGGAAGCTGTTGGAAATCAACAGCTCCAGTGGGCTGACCACAGCCATCCGTGAATTCAAAACAAGTTGGCTGGGGAAAAGAGATGCTATGCTGCACCTCAAAATGATTGGTTTTTGGCTCATGCATGCAGAAGTGTCGCGGGTGTTGAACCTCTCAAATTTGGCAGACCTCGGGCTTGCTCGTGTTGGACCACGCTCACTTCAAAACAAAATGGGTAGATACGCCGTCACAATGTCACAACCAACCTGAGTGGTGATAAGCAACTCTTGCCCCAACAGCAACCGAGCAAGCGACGACCCCCCCCACAAAAAAAAGAGCGCTCAACACTTCAACATGGATGTCCAGTTCCTCCACAGCTCCAGCGTCACGTACGCTTTTGATGCGTGATGATAGTTGGACGCCCGCTTGTGCGCAGAGCCCGTTCTATGAGAGTAAGCTGGTTCTAGGCGTGTTCCGGAGCGCCTCGAAGAACTTTGCAGGCGCGTTCTTGAGATCCGTCAACTTCCTCGGCTACAACGGTATCTCCGGTTTCGAAAACCAACCAGAAGGGAAAGCTTGCTTTCCTTTGGGGAGAGTTGACAAAGAGCACCGAAACAGGAAAGCACCCCTTGCCTTGTCCGTTCCGAAAAAGGCAACCAAGGCAGTTGCGTCGAGTTCGGTCAAAGCCCTGGCTCTCCCACAGGCCTCCCTTGGCGAGGGCCTTATGCTGAAAGCTTGCTATCTTCTTGAGGCCTCCAATGACTCAACGCTGTGCTCATATACAGCACTGTTGGCTCAGTGCACAAACGAGGATTGTCATGAGCCGTGGGATGTCCCGTGTCACACTAAACCTGCAGACCTGGAACAGTTTGTTTCTTGTCTCGCTGCTTTCATGCCTTAAAAGCCATACATGTATGGAGGGATATGGAGGGCATCGTGGCTCCATCAGCCAAGAAGAAGGCAAAAACACCCGTGATTTTCGTTGACGCCGAGCTTCAGAAGCCCCGTCTTCTGCAAGTCGCGCAATTGTTGAGCACCTTGGGCTGCACGAATGCTGTCTGAGGCTGGCGTGAACAAAAACTCGGCATGGGGCGAAAAAAGGTCAAGCAAAGGTTCGAGATGGGCCTCATGTGATGATGTATGATGCGCTTCTGAGAGGTGAATAGTATGCACGAGTATGCACGTTGACCGCATTGAGATTTGCATTCGGGAAAAGCAAATATTGCGGCTCGTGGCTTGTCGTTGCTTCTGGAAGACCATCGCACGGGGCATACAGGTACAGGGTATGCAAGCGAATCCAGCAATCAGTAAGTAGGGCTGAAATCATGTGCGCGTTAGTGTTGCGGCCAAAATTCCGACCAAAAGATGGGCACGTTTTAGCCAAACACGCATTGTTCGTGCGCAACGTCCATGGTTTGAAGCCAATAGGAGGGACACCAGCCGCCTTCCCGCTACATCTGAAGAGATGTGTTGGCAAATGTCAGCGAGGCCTGTGTAGGCTCATTAGTTGAAAGGGCAAACCATTCACATTGACACAAGATGACACAAGTCCTGGTGACAATCCCTAACTCAGGGCGTGCGGTTGACCACTTTCTTGCTGACATAAGGGTGATTCACGATGCTTTGCGATCGGTCTACTTGCCATGAGGCATTCCTTAATTCTTTGCCAATCCTTTGCATCCATTTGGCACTACTTACACGCTTGCTTCGCCTCATTACTTAAGTTGCATGGGCAGCAAGTGGTCAACGCGCACCTACAAGTGCAAGAGCCCTGTCAGGTCCGCGCTTGGAAGCATCGGGGAAACTTATCGACAAGCAACACTCCAGGCAACTACATAAGCACCAGATCTATCCATGTGTCAGAACCAAACCAAAGGCCCATCCGTCGGGTTGAAAAAACCACAAGGCCCATTTCCACCAGGGCCGACCTGCTCCGACCACAACTGCCGGGTTTCAGCACGGCCGCTTTCAGCTGCAGCTTTATCAGGGATGCGTGCACAGGTTTTCCAGCGTGGCTCGAATTCTATGAGAAACTCACTGCCTGAGTGGATGGGCCAAACAGAGTCTGAACTTGTTTTTTGCCACAAAAATGGTCCAACCCCAAAATTGGCAAAAGTTCAGGAACTCAGGAAGTGAGGTTGCTTACTCGTTGGCCGTAAAATATTCGGGAGAAGCCCTGTCTTTCTCCACGCGCAAATTCGGCATGGAGTGGCTCCGCCTGCATTCTGCATCGTTGCGGGACTGGGCGGGTGAGAAGCGACCAGTCGCCCCTGAGATATGTGCCATGGTCAAAGCGGCGGATGCGCGCGAAAAGGGGACTGTGACCTTTGGAGGTTCGGGTTGCGCCCGCCTTTCCGACCAAAGGTTGGACATGATGCTCAAAATCCTCGATTCGGGAAACTAGTCCATGCTTTGACCATGCATCAATCACACCAGGGTTCCAACGGCAGGATCAGCGTTGCACAAGTCTACAGCGAATTCACTCAGGCAGACTTCTTTTCTTCCCCAGCATCGGCATCGAAGCCAGTGCGGAATTCCAGCCTGAAGAGATGGTAGCCAAACTTGGTCTTCACAGGACCTCGGCGGACAGCAACAAAACCTTTGCCCCAGAAAGGCCCGAAAGCTCTAGAAGTTTGTTCCCTGATTGCCAAACGTTTTGCCGAAGAAAAAGCCTTCGCTTCTGCATACGAGTACCTTGTACGAGTACCTTGTACCAAGGATGCGTGCAATTGCATATGGATATGCTGACGTCTGTGCACGGCGTGTGACGTCTATGCACGGCAAGGGTGCAAGCATATGCTTCTTTGGGTGAACGGTCTAATATAGTTTCAACACAGCTCCTTGCACGAGTGTGCCAATGGGAATTGTTCTTTTTTGTGCCAGCAAGTGCAACAAAAATACATGTTTGCTCTCTATCCCCCATGGCACACCGCAGGTGATGCGGGATCTGCCCCGCGATGCGGTCAAACCCATGCACCCAGTACCTTGTAGCCAGTCCCTGGCCATGCATTCGCTTCATGCGCTTACTTGGCATTCATGGTTCCAATTGCCCAAATCAGTCACATCCGGGGCCCTCAAAGTAGCAGTCAGATATGGCTGTGGGTCAAAACCAAAGCCTACCATTTTAGATCCTATTTTAGTGGAGATTGGGATCTTCACTGGGGCTACGATTTGGCTTTTGACCCATTTTAGATCCTATTTGTGGAGATTGGTTGATCTTCACTGCTACGATTCGGGTTTTGAAAAGCCCATGGCCACATGCCACCTTGGGTCCCCGAAAGGCTCTTTGACCGAGGTGCCCACCACTTCGCCGATCGGCGTCTTCGGATTGAAGGCCACCCGGTCGAAGGCGGGATCCTAAGCTCACGTGCGGCCAGCGCCAAGGAAAGAGCGACAGCAACCGAAGAGCGACACTAAGGTCACAGATGGCCGATTTCGCCTTTTTGGCCCCGGCGGTAGAATCCCAAGCATGTTGAATGGATCGTGTGGGCTGCAAGTTTGGCCGCTTTAGGCCTGATGTTGGAACCCATGAAGTCCAAGCAGGTGCTGTGACCAAAGAAGCGCCATCAAACGCAGATCACCCCACGGGCAACGTGAAGCCAACCTTTGAAAGCGGATAACCCAAGACATCACAGTGAATGAAAAAAAAACGGTGTTAAAAAAACAAACTCGCAGGTGCCAGGTTTGCTTGTGGGAAGCCAATATTTCAAGTGGCTTCTCCACAACATGGCGCCCCTCCAACGGTCACGTTGAGCAGACCCAAGACCCGTCCTTGTTGCTTTTTGTTGGTATGGGTGCGCCACAGCGGGTTTGCGGAGCTGACTGAATCTGTGGTTTGGGCACAGACAGGTCCTTCAAAGTTGGGTTTTCAAGAAAAGCTTGGAGTCCCCACTCACTAACAAGGAAGGACAACTAGATCAGGCAGCCACCATTGTCTTTGCAAACAGGAGACTGCAAACGTGTGGGCCGGGGCAAAGACCCAAGTAAAATCAGTTAACTTCAGCCTTGCCTGGTTTGAACACCGATCCAAATGTCGCCTGCATATGCAGCCGCTTCTGTTCGGCCCTAAAAGGCCAAATGTATAACCAACGGCCTGTACCGAGAAAAACACACACACACACTGATTATATCAAATTATATCACCTATGGTCTGGCTTCAAGAAAGGGACCCTGAACAACAGACAAGCTATTACTATTTTGCCGTCTCTTCTTTCTTTTCAGAAAAGGGGCCTTGAACTTGAACCCCTGTTCTACCTACTGCTTGAGCAAGCTTTTAGGAACACGTCCAGGCCTGGTGACTTGCCTTTTCTGCAGCTTCGGCGCCAACTCGCAGGGCTGGAAGACGCCCAAATCCCCGCCGTCCGAGGCGGACCGGCAAACGCTCAGCGCCCTCGCCACTTTGCCGAAGGTCTCCTCGGCAGGCGATGCCACAGGCAGACTCTTCAAATGGTGGGTCAAAGTGATACGTCAAACACATGCTGGTTTCCACAGCAGCCAACCATTCAACCCACCCACCCACCCACCCCCCATCCAACCAAACCGTAGCCATGTTGGCTCAAGCAATTTCAGCTGCCTAAGGCGTCTCAGGCAGCCTGATGTCCTTGAAAGAAAAAGGGAACGAAGAGGAAGCTTTGAGAAACGCGCAGTTCAGTCAAGGCATCACATCCGGGACTTAAGGAAGACGCAGCTTACGTCATTGGACTTTCAAGTGCCTTGCCCCACCGTGTTAGCGGAGGAGGACGCCCTCTGATTCCATCGTCCCAGCGCAAATGACATCAGAGCGGACGAGGAGCCTGGTGCTTTGGGTTCAAGTCTTATGGAAGAAACGATGAACGAGCTCAAAAGTACACACACAACGCTGAGCAAACAAGAGGCAATCAAGCCACCAAAGGGTCAAGAAGCGCGCCTGAGTCACGCAATCAGTGAATCAGAAGCCGTTCGAGTGGACCCACAATAAATAGCTGGGCAGAAGCAAGCCAAGGCAGAGCCCGAAGTCCAAAAGCAAGGGTAACCAGACCGCGACCTTCCAGTCTTTGGGTGTGCTTTTGGGAGGCGATGGGAGGGTAACCTTCTTAGGTTGGTACAGAGTGAGTGGTTGAGTGGTTGAGTGGTTGAGTGGTTGAGTGGTTGAGTGGTTGAGTGGTTGAGTGGTTGAGTGGTTGAGTGGTTGATGGGTTGGTTGGTTGGTTGGTTGGTTGGCTGGCTGGTTGGTTGGTAGGTTGGTTGGTTGATTGGTTGATTGGTTGATTGGTTGATTGGTTGGTTGATCGATTGAGTGAGTGAGTGATTGATTGATTGATCGGTGAAACGCTTCCCTTGGTTGTTCAGTGATTGATTGATTACACAATCCTAGTCAAAATGTGACCTTTGCGGCGACGCATTGAATTACTTTCCTGGATCAGCAACATTCAGCAACACTGAAGCAAAGACTTGGCACATTGTCGGTGCAGGTGACAACACAACATCAAGTTTGGGGGCTTTGGCCTCGCTGTGCCCTCATGGCATTCACATGTGGGGATTAGCTTGCATGCACACGATCAACAACAGCAAACACCTTCAGCCAGCCAGCCAGCCAACCGACCCAGCAAATCACTGAATCCATGACCAACAGCCGACGAGGTTAACTACTGCCAAGTTGAGCAACGCTTCAACTAAAGTGGGCCTTTAGGCCGGCACCTGGGTCTTGGCTCACTTCATGAGTGAATTGGGCAAAGAGTTTGAGTTTTTTGCTTGCCACTAAAATGGTCCAACCCCAAGACGTGTTTAGAGTCCAGGAACTCAGGGCTTGGGTCTTGGACCCTCAACCCCCCCCCAAAAAAAAAAAAAAAACTAAAAAAAAAAGATCCAACGGCCAAGGGTCCCCCGAGTCCAGCCGCGCTTTCGCCGCCAAGATGTCCGCCTCGGTCCTCATCAAAATGTGACGCAGGGAAGCGCTCTTGATCTTCCGCTGGGCCGCATCTGTCGACAAGAGCAAGTACAAGGTGAAGGTCAGCACGGAAAGCCCACAGCACCTGGCCATCGCAAGTTGAGAAGTCGTGTTGGGGGAGAAGTGACCTGAAGACCATCCAAACCCCAAGAAGTCATGCTTCAATGAAGTAACTTAAGGAAAATCCATCCCAGAAATCCTATGTGTGATCAATCCTGTGACCAAATCTCTGAAAAGGGCAAACCTGCAAGCATGTGATTCTCATGGGGCAGCCAGTGTCAAACACCCAAGCCTGGAGATTTGACGGGCAGCTGACTTCTAATATTGGTTGTGACGGATTATTGTGGATTGATTTATCCTTGTTTGCTTTTCTGCAAAGCGACGCTTGCAACACGTGCAGCCTTGTAAAGGAGTTGCAGGCCACTGCCTAAGAGCTCCTACCAGCAATGACAAAACTATCCCAACGATGCGTTTTATGCAGAACGTTGGACAAGCAGCCGTGGCAAAGTGCCGTTGCCTTGTACGCATTATGTTGGTGTACTTATGTATGTACATATATATATATATACATATATATGTGTACATATATGTGTGTAAGTAAATTGGTTTACATTGCTGCAACTTATCTCGTTCTTGGCTTGCGCAGCTGGTGCACGCCATCTAACCTATATTGCCAGCACTGCGTGTACCAGTTGCTCGCACAAAACATATATACTGGTAAGAATCGCAATATGGCGTACGTCGATTGCGCATGGTTCCCAAGCTAACCAGAAAAGGGTGTGGGTGCTTTCTCTCTTAGCTCCAGGTTTTTGCTGCTTGGCTAGCAGGTGCAAAAGCAGCCCAGCAGTGGCAGCGTTTCGCCTAGTGGAACTAGCATGGTCAAAGGTCAACACTTGGGGCCAGCTTTTGCCTATTCGCAGTTGTTTGGGCCAGGGCACAAAGACATTTCTGCTTTTGGGCCCCATATGGTGGAGATGTGTGCCTTGGATGCAAACCTGGCCTGCTCACAGTGGTCTTCAGTTCGTGGTGTGCCAAGAATGGGCAACCCGTGGATTTCCTTTCAACATCCACACGGGGCGCCAAAAGAATAAAGGCGGCAACTGAATAGCACCGGAGTCCCAATGGTAAGCCCCAAACATGTGCGCAAATCAACTTAGCCCTGGCACACGATGAAGACGTGACCATAGGTGAACTTGATCTGGCCAATGTGAAAAGCTGGATCTCGGACCTTGTCCCTGAGCTAGGCCACGGACGAGTGCAAGCATCGGGGGTGGTAGAATTGCAAAACAGCAAAGCACGTTGCTTCACATCCTCGAACACACACCTCCTTTTCCTACACTTCCTTTTCCTACATGTCGGCCTCCAAACGTGGCCATTTGGAGCGGGACAGTGCCGAGGGTACGTTATGGTACGTTTCTTGCAATCAGCTTCCAGTGGGGAACAACTGGTTAGGACGCGCCGCGGCCACCAGCAACTTTTTGCTCCGACCGCCAAGCGTGCGGTTGCAGCGCTCCTGGAGCTTAAGCAAGGGAAGAATGCGCCTTGCAAAGTCATGCCTCCTGCTAAAAAGCAAGTATACTTTGATGGGCTGCTGCTTTGGATGTGGCAGGGCAAATTTCTCTTGCGGCATGAAACGACAGAATCAGTTGCCCGAAGTCAGCCCTTGGCCTGACTAGCCCAAATCGGCAGGGTCCGGGCTCCGTTTGTTTGCATCATGCTGCAAATTCTGACTGCCATTTGCATGGCAGGCATAAAAGGTAAAGGAACGCTTGCAGGGCCCACAGCGGCATTTCTTGTCTCAGTTGTCCTTCTCCCCGAAACCCTAACCCTGCATTAAACAGAGCTGAGCCATCAATCTCAACATTGGGGGTTGAATTCAAAGAATATTCGGTGAGCGGTACCCGTTGGCATTCATTCCCAAACTTGATGGGCTAGCCACGCTTCCGCGGACCCTTCCGCATCCGTTTCTGCGGGCCAGGCACTTTCCTGACGGGGCTGCCCTTCAGAGCCCTTGCCGTTTTGACCCGCTCGCCTTTTTTGTTAACTGCTCTTCCAGTAAGCGTTGCACTCGATGCAACATCTTTGTGCTTCTAGTCGCTCAACCCACGCGTCCCCACACAAGCCGAAAACAAACGTATTAAACCACACAGCTTTCTCGGACCTTCGAAAGGATCCCTTGCGCAGAACCACGATGGCGCAGTGCGCATGCAGAATCATGTCCCTGTTTCTAGGGATCCCGGAATTCTGGTTGCAGTCCAAGCTTTGCCCTCCCCCCATTCGCACCCAAGAAACACGGCACCACCTGCAACCTTGCGAGCAAACCCCACCCCCCAAACAAGGTAAATAAAAATCCCCCAACAAACATGTACATGAACATCCCCCCAAAACAGTAAATCAAAATCCCCCAACAAAATGTAAATGAACATCCCCCCCCCCAAAAAAAAAAGAACATCCCCCCAACAAGCATGAAAAGCTCTCCCCCCAAAAAACAACACACACACACACACACACAAAATGGGGGATTCGAAACGAAATACAACTCGAGGCAGCTCGAGGCAGCCGAAAGCCGAGGCGCCCCATCTCCAGCAACCAGCGCGTGAGCCAGTTGCTGGCCAGCCGCACCTCCTTCACAGAGCTCCGCGGCAGCTTCGCCTCCTCCAACTCCGCCAAGTACTCCACAAAGTCCATCGTTGCCATCGCTCACCAGTTGGAGAGCCCAAACCGAGGGCGGGAGAGAAGCAAACGATCCAATCAGAAGATCAGACTCATGAAATTCGTGCTTGCCTAGTTATGTATACAAACATATTCCATATTTATGCGGGATGTGTGTGTGTGTTTTCTTTGTTGATGCATGCGTGTACGCATGTGGGTGTGTGTGGTAATTCCCTTTTGAACTGTAGATGGAGCTGCTACAAATAAGGAGAAATCCGTGTGCGGACACAAACATCACAGTATATACAGTCATTGCTCCCCGTTGGCTTTCAATCCAGTGGGTTTAATCATGCTCTTGCCGACCATGGGCAAATCGCATGCTGTGTAGCTGACATACAGCATTTGCTACAGTCCGCTGGTGAACCAGCCTTTGCTGAGGCAGGATTCATGGCTGTTGCCATCAGTCTTCTCAATCTTGTTGACTCGAATGATATGCCGCAATGCAATGTAAGAGCGAAGTGGCCGGGCCCATGCGGTGCCCAAGTTTACGCAACCGCAGCCCTGCACTGCCCCGCACTGCCCCGCACTGCCCAACCAAATTGCTGGCTGCTTCTATGCTGCTTCTTCGCCTGTTCCCCATGCCCCTCTGCGCTATCAGAATCAAGCCGCTCTGCTCATAGCCCACGTCGCTGCGGATCTTGGCGACTGCCTTTGCAACGGGGCCGACACAAATTTGCAGCGGCTCACATGCAAAAACAAAAAATCCATGCGAGCCATCGGAGAAACCACTAGCGTGCCATGGCCAAAAGTGATAAATTTGCATCAGTGGGCGCTCTCAAGCCATGAGGTTTTCCTGGGAGGTAGCCCTTCCGCCAAGAAATTTTACTTTTGGGGGAACCCCTGTATGGTCTGCCTGAACACGCAGGTATGTCTGCTCCGCGCCTCTATCCATTTCTGGCGCCACTCTGGCGTCACCATCCTCAGGCCTAGGACGCTGCCCCATCCCCAGTTTGTGGACTATTGAGCCCTCATGTTCTGAGGACCCGGGCCACGGTGACAATTTCAGAGGGTGGCCCTTTGAGTATTTGCTTGAGTTTGGGGCCTGTGAGGTAATAAAGGGTTCATGCTGTAAGGATACCTGGCTTAGGGTTGTTCCAAGAACCTGACAGGTCACTTTAACAGGAAAATGGTCCAAACCAGGCAGGACCCCCCCCCCGCCCCGTCAGGTTGCATGTTAATTGGTGGGAGGGTAGGCCCTACTATAGAACATGGTGTTCCATGTTTGTTTCACAGCCACTAGGCAGTACATTGTGAAAGCCGCCATCCCTTCAACCGTGCGCTTGCGCGACACTTCCAGGTATTGGGCGCCCAGGCAGCTGAAGAAGGACAGGCGCAGCAAAAGTGGGTTGCTCGGCAGCTGTTGGTTGGGACCTTGGGGAGTTTGATGTTGGGACCTGTGATTTTACCTTGTTGGATGGTGACTGCATTCGGCGAAATATGACCCCAAATGCTGCAGCACGTGGACCCAAGTGGCGGAGGCAGTGATGCGACAACCACTGCCCTGAGACTCTGCTGAAAATTGGGAAGGGAGACTAAGAACGCCAGGCCGAGTTCAAGACTCAACTTAAAACTGTCACGCTAGGCTTCGTAGAGGGTACAAGCGGCTGAGCCCGCAACCCATCGCCTGCTGAACGCCAACATACGCCAACAAGACATTCCCAACTTGGGGGGTTCTGTGCATTAGGGAGCCAAAGGATCCTGACGAGTGAGCCTGTTTCCTGGCGAGTTGCTTGCTTCCCGAAAAGTATGAAGTCGAGGAACTCAGGAAGTGAGATTTTGTCCAACAAGGAGCACAGGTCACGCAGACCCTGGCAAAGCTGCTGGCCTCTGCTCGCTGCACGTCGCCGGCCCGCGCGTGTGCACGCAGCACGGCCGCCTCAGGCTGACATTCAGCCGCGAGTTGGCCAGTAGTCTATGCATCCCATTTCAGAGGGGATCCGTGGCTTTTCTGGGGAAACACCCGCCCAAAGCAATCTGCATGGTTGATTCAAATTCGGGTAGACATTGGGGCTCAAAACCACAAGTTCAATGCTCGTGAAAAGGAAATGCACCCCAAAGGCAATTGTGAGACAGTGACCAGAAGATCACTGTTGTGGGCCCAGACATTAGGGCCCCTTTTGGGTTCGGACGTGACGCCTGCCAAAAAGCAACAAGTGCTTTGCCGATGCCTTGGCTGGCCGGCCTGAAGCAAGTTGGAAAACCCAGCTGCATCGCATTGACGTGATGCACTGGGATTGCAATTCCCAGGGCCCGCCCTCTGTTAAATGCTCAAGCTAGCGCCTGAGGCGACGACATGGCATGCCTCAGGGGGTCACGATGCACTAAGCTTCCTGAAGCTTGCTTTCTTGTTGGCACTGTTTTGGGTGCGTTTGTTTTGGAGGGTACCCCGTTTGCGTGGTTTTCAACTGGAACCTTCACAAGTTTTCTGGGGGAGGGGCATGAAAAAAAGAGGGGGGGGCTATTTTGCATCCAGTGGTCCAATCACTTACCATGCTCAGGGCTTTGGCTTGTGCCAACCCCCAAGGTGTGAGGTGTTTTCTGGCATCATTTCCTGGAGGCTAAACGGAGCCTAATTACACACTCCCTTTCAACCTGCGTGCTTCAGATTCCATGTCGTTTTTTCCAGGCATAGTTCAACATATGCAAACAATCTCTGAAAAAAACAGTTCCGTCACAAAACAGCATGCTGCAGTGTGGACTTCTGGCACTGTGGAAAAACATGGGCGATCTTGTCAATCTGCCCCAACTCTTCAAGCCTTTTTACACACAAGGATGTCTCTGACAGTTTGTGGGGATCCCAAGGCAAAGCCGGCAACGGCTACATGTCCCAACTGGCTTGCCAAAAATTGAGCAGGAGCTTTAAAACATGCCTTCCATTCGAGGATGCCCCTTGCTCGTTCGCGCAGGGGAGGCTTGGACACTGGCCGCGTCAGTCGCCAGTCCGTGAGCATCTGCCTAGCACGAGTCGTGCATCAAGCCTAGCACCAGGGGTCCAAATGCTACGCTCGTTCTACACGTTCATCACTGTTGCAATGGTTGCCGTTGATGATGTTGTGAAAGTGCTGCCGTTGCCCGGATGGCCACTGCAACCGATGTCGTGCAAAGGGGTGCTGGGGTTGGCGGTTGTGGGGGTGCCGGCGGCGGCGGTTGTCAGTAAGGACAACAAAACCAGGGCCATGATAAACATTGTGATTGGGATTCAGCTTATGACGAAGACGGGGTTGACGCTGATGACAATGGGTCGTGATGATGAGGATTCGTGTGATGCTCTTGCTGGTGATGCGACGGTTGTTTATGATGGCATTGTTCTTGATTTGCAGTCGTTGTGGCTATCAACATTGCTTTTCTAGTTAAGGCCGTCATATTAGTTGCTCTATGCATTCATGGCGCCGTTGTTGTGCCTGTCCTAGTAGTGGCTTGTAGTAGTCGCTTGTGTGACTGTTGTGTTTGGTGGTTCTTGTGTGCGTCTGTGTGTGTGGTGTGTTTGTGTGTTTGTGTGTTTGTGTGTTTGTGTGTTTGTGTGTTTGTGTGTTTGTGTGTTTGTGTGTTTGTGTGTTTGTGTGTTTGTGTGTTTGTGTGTTTGTGTGTTTGTGTGTTGTGTGTGTGTTGTGTGTGTGTTGCGTGTGTGTTGCGTGTGTGTTGCGTGCGTGTTGCGTGTGTGTTGCGTGTGTGTTGCGTGTGTGTTGCGTGTGCGTTGCGTTGCGTTGCGTGTGCGTTGCGTTGCGTTGCGTTGCGTTGCGTTGCGTTGCGTTGCGTTGCGTTGCGTTGCGTTGCGTGTGTGTGTGTGTGTGTGTGTGTGTGTGTGTGTGTGTGTGTGTGTGTGTGTGTGTGTGTGTGTGTGTGTGTGTGTGTGTGTGTGTGTGTGTGTGTGTGTGTGTGTGTGTGTGTGTGTGTGTGTGTGTGTGTGTGTGTGTGTGTGTGTGTGTGTGTGTGTGTGTGTGTGTGTGTGTGTGTGTGTGTGTGTGTGTGTGTGTGCGTGTGTGTGTGTGTGTGGGTGTGTGTGTGTGTGGTGGGTGTGTGTGTGTGTGTCGCGTGTGTGTGTGTCTCTGTGCGTGTAGTGCTGTTGATGCTGACGTGGTTACACATGCAGTTCTGACAATTCATAATTCATGACCATGGTGGCGGTGGCGACGGTTGTGATCATGGTGATCATGACGCTGATGCTACAGGGAGGGGCAGTGGTGAAGCTGGTCAAGACAGAATTGATGTTGATATGTTAAGCATGGTCGTTCCAAACTTGTTGGGTAGGTAGAAAGGATGCAAGCTCCTCACAGCGACCGTGAAGACATTATACTACAGGGCAAGTGATCAGTAGCGGAATCAAGTAATCACAGGAGGAAACAACACATGTTGGTGTCATTTTGCCAAGCAGCATGTTTGCTTTCCTGCCCACGTCAAATGGGCTGATTTAACACAATTTAGGTCCTCAAAAATGTGACGGTCAATTCACAAAATGCAACATTCCATAAATCAGCAAGTGGGGACAGCGCGCAACTCTGTCAGCACTGAATATGTTACATGTTGGCCTAAAGCACTGCATGGTAGTTCGTGGAGATGACAAATTTGTGCGCTGCAGTCCCAGAATCATTGCAATCGATTCAAACCAACCTTATAGACAGATGTGCGACCACTCTGCCAGAATCCGGACTTACTTTGACATTGCAAAACTTGTTCGGAACGTATAGCCCTCGTCGCAATACACCTTCGACCCTACGGTCCACTCCATGGCCCATGGTCAATAGCCGGGGCGAGAGACCCACACTAATGGCACATTGAAGACAGAAGACCTCCGCAAAACGGGCATCCCACAGTATCTTGTCAGCTTCCATGGTGCAGCTCCAAAATCCTCAAATGCAATCGACTCTAAAGGGAAGTGTGAGCACTGCACGCTCAAAAAACAACTCAACGAGAAACCTGACAGCGCCGGTTCAATCCTCGACCCGTAGCCTGCTGCAGCCAATGCTCTGCGCGTCCGGGCCTTGACTCAGGCCGGGGAAAGTGAGAACATGATCCAAGTCAGCTGGGTGAACCATGCGGTTGGTGCAAATGCAGTCCCTCATGTTTGCAACAAGGATGCAAGCGAAAAGATGTCAATCCAAGTCCCCTAGGTGCCAATTCAATGGCGGGATTCCAAAAGGTCCGTTACATGGGAAACCACGCGGATTGATATGTTTTATATGGGCCAAGCTACGTGATCTCCCATGGTCACGTGCGAGTGCCAGGAATATGGATCAACCTCCACAGGTCCCATCCCTTGGCTTTTCTCGGGAAATCAAGAAACGCCGCGCTACTTTGCGCCAGAGAATTTTTGGGCCCCCGGGCTTGCCTGCCTTGGCGCAGGCATGGATCACGGAGCTGAAGCCTGAATCCGGCAAGTGAACCCTGGCTGTGAATTAGGACCCCAGCAAAAAGTTGTCTTTTTTGCCTGGTTAGTGGAACACAAAGGGACCCAAAAAATCAAAAAAAAAAAGGGGAGCTAATTCTGGGGAAGAACAGAGGTGGCTGTGAATTGCAATAGGGGACCCTTTGAAAGATACGGATTGTTGCGAAATCCAGGACGTTTCGGCTCCACATTCACCAGCCCAATGGAAGCGAAAGCATCTGACAGCTCGCTTGCTCAGCGCCCCGGCAAGATGTATCTGGCATCACCTGCGCTGTTCTCCAGAGGCGCTTTCTCACATTCCTTCTCGCACCCCCAGGGCCAAGTTGACTGGGGATGTGCTGGATCAGAAGACAATGGGAAAGTCACGCGTCCAGGAAAAGGGAAGCTGCCTTGTATCGACCCGCGCCACTCTCAGGTGCCGTGTAAAGCAAGCAGGCGAATTCACCCTGTATGCGCCATGGCCAAGTGCTCAACGGATGGTGGGTTGGCCAGTTTGTGCCCGTTTGCTTTCGCACGCACGGGCAGGAACAGTGGCATTGGTCCCCTGGGAGTTGATAAACTCACCTTGCAGGAAGCCCCGGTGGCTCCGTTTCACCTGGGCGCCCTGCATTCCGAGCCGGCATTGAATCAATGAAGCGCTCGCACCTGAAAAGACAGCAAAGCACATGTTCAAGGCTGGTGTACCTTTCTCTGACCACCCTTGACTTGAGGTGTTAATTCTACCTTGATAGGTGTCATGGACTGCTGCTGCTGGGAGAGAAGCACAACGATGAATCCTGGAAAATGTGATGGAACCAATTCACGGCACTGAGCTAGCCTGTATCAGCCCCTCTGACCAGCAGTAACCTGGCGATTGTACACGCAAGCATGGCAATAAAAACCTTTTCGACGTCAATTGGCATTTGTGTTGCGATGCAACGACTGGCAACAGGCTCCAACCTCAAGCCCACCCCCTTCGAGGCTGGAGAGCTTTGGGTGCTCGTGCTCAGCACTCTTAGGTGAGTGCTCCGTCACTCTGCCGGCACGCGCGAGCACGTAGAGCAGTGTAGAGAAGAACGCCTCAACTCCGCGAGCGAATCGATGCGCAGCGGTTCTGATTGTCTCACGCACAGCGGGAGGACTGGACTCCTTGCAAGTTTAGAGGCCCAGGGAGGGGTAAAAGCAGGCTTGGCATATAATTTACAATTAACCCTGACCATGGCTTCTCAAACATTCATCTCACAAGTGTGGCTCTTTGGTTTCCCAGTATATTTATATAGTTGTACATATAGGGTTGCGCCGAAGACCTGGAGTCAAACCTCGCTTCCTGCATGTCATGAACCCACACGTCGCCGGAGTCTCCGAGCGCCCTGCGACATCCAGGCGAATGCCATCCTGACAAGGCAGGAGGCCGCAGCAGCAGCATGACCCTTACCCTCCTTCAGAGTAACATGGAAGGTCCCAGGACAACTTTGGAAGACTTGGTTCCATGTACAGCCTTAAGGGAGCTTCCATGTTAGTCTGAGGGGGTGCAATGCACCCTTGTCAGAAGCAATGGCGCATGGCTACGGGAAACAACTTTATTGAGGGAAGCTTGTTTATATTTCTTTTACTGGCTTGATGGCGGCCACCTCGGAGAGACAAACGCCATTCCTTCATGGGTCTGCGGTTTTCTTTTTGGTTGCCTACTAAAAACAACCTCAAGCTGGTGCTCTCAAAAGAAAGGCAGACCCTCATCTGTTGAGCTTCTGATCTGTGCATCTGAGCTCTTGAACACCCTCCCTTGGATTGAGATGATGATGGTGCAACCCCTGCCAACTTGCTGAAGGCAGCCCCGCTTTGGCAAGCTAGCAAACCATCTTCCCCATGTTCCAAAATAAGGAATCTTTGCGTTTTTGCCTGATTCGCCGACATCTTTTCCTTTCTCAAACTGTGCCGGTTTGCCACCGGGGGCCGTATGAATGGATTCACGACCCTAAGCTTGCTCTGTGAGCTCATCCTAAGTTTGGTTCCCAGCGGGTAGTCTCGATGTAACACACAAGTCATGCTGGGGTTGAGGAGACAGCTCCAAAAGAACTGGGATGTATATTTGCTGCTTGCTTTCAGCTTTGGCTTCCAACTAGCCGCAAAGCACGCAAAACCAGAGCGAAGCGCCCAGCCACGGGAATTCAACAAGACCACACCGCCGGAAAGAAAAAACAGCAGAGCCTCTGCCAGCTATGGCCATCAACATCAAGAAGGGGAGTAGCTGATAGCTGGAACTGAGGCCAGTTGCAAAGGCAGAGCTCGGGGGTCCGATGCTTTGTACATCACTTGCCGTATCCTCCGGCACCCTTCATGTACATCTTGCTCATTTCCAGCACCGCTGCGTCCAGCGCATCTGCCAAGGCCGGGTCCACGTTTTGCTTGCCTTAACAGTTGAGGAGACAGTGTGCGGATTGTTACGTTGACGGGATGTGCTTCTGGATCAAAATACCATAGGCATATATATATATATATATACATATTATGTTTATCGTATATGTATCTTGTCATACGTTTTAAGACCGATTCTCAGTCATGTATGGCCAGTCTAACCATATTTATACAGAATAAACAGAACATATCAGAGAATACACACCCGTTTCGTGACGCATTCGGCTGGCTCTCAAGAAATGCCCGTGAACAAGTCAGGCCTTCATCTGGGGCTAGCATCCCAAATTCAATTCAGGCCGGCGACCCTTTGCCACCCCACATCTTTCTCAAAGAAAATGCTTCTACATGTTTCTTCGATTGTCCTGCAGGTAAATATTGGGTCACAGGACATGAGCCAGCAGGAATGATCGGGGAAAGGAGCCCATGGGCAAGCTGGGGCGTCGTGAGTCTGAGAGTTTGGCTCCCAAAGGCCAAGAGGTGCCCCCTCGAATCAAGAAAGCCGGGCCTGAAACGAAGGGTTCCCACGCTGTTAGCAGCACCCTTGTTCCCTTTATGACAACCCTCTCCATCCCCCCAAAAAAACACAAACACAAAACACAAGCAATGCAAGCAAAACACAACACGACAAACAAACAAGAACAACCAGAGAAACACAACGGACAAGAAAGCAACAACACCAAAAAGGAAAAAAACACAAAAACCAAAAAACAAGTGACAGCAAGAACAATAACAATAACAAGAACAACAAAACCAGCCACAACCACGAACACGACAACCGCAACCACCACCACGACCACGACCACAACCGCAACCATGACCACGATCATGCCACCACGCACCACCACCACCACCGCCACCACCGCCACCGCCACCAAAACCGCCACCGCCGCCGCCGCCACCTTCACCGCCACAACAACAACAACGACGACGACGACGACGACCACGAGGACGACAACAACAACAACAACAACAACAACGACAACGGCAACGACAACCACAATGACAACAACAACAACAACAACAACAACAACAACAACAACAACAACAACAACAACAACAACAACAACAACATCAAGGAGCAGGCAAAAAGCAACAAGCAACAAGCAACCAGCAACCAGCAACCAGCAACATGCAGCAAGCAACAAGCAACAAGCAACAAGCAACAACCAACATGCAACAGCAACAACTACCATAACAACGACAACAACAACAACAACAACGACAACGACAACGACAACGACAACGACAACGACAACGACAACGACAACGACAACGACAACGACAACGACAACGACAACGACAACGACGACAACAACAACAACAACAACAACAACAACAACAACAACAATAGCAACAGCAACAGCAACAGCAACAAGCAACAAGCAACAAGCAACAAGCAACAAGCAACAACCAACCAGCAACAAACAAGGAACAACAAACAACAAACA